AGGGGAAGGGGATGAATAAATGGGTGGGTGGCTGGCTGACTGGCTGGATGATATAGTTCATGGTCATATATGTCATTGGCCCTGGCTGGTTTGCCTCTCTGGTTAGAGTGTTGGCCCTCGCACCAAAGGGTTGTGGGTTCAATCCCAGTCAAGGGCACGTACCGGGGTTGCAGGTTCGATCCCTGGTGTGCAGGAGGCAATCAATTGATGTGCATCTCTCACACTGATGTTTCTCTCTCTCTCTCCCTTTCTCCCCACCTCCCTCCCTCCCACTCTCTCTAGAAAATATATGGAAAAAATATCCTTGGGTGAGGATTAACAAAAATAAAAAAATAAAATAATAATATAAAATGAAATAAAATAAAATAAAAAGTTAAGCATTGCTTCTTCCTCTCTACATTCACATTTTAGAATTCTTAATTAAGGGCTTTGATCACTTAAGGTCTATATAACTGAGATTTTACTGTATAGTAGTACCTGGAAAATGTGACTTACAAAATCTCAAGGATATAGGAGTTAACTCTTAATAATATTCTTAAAAGCCTAAAAGAAATCACATGCCAAGTTTTAGACTAACCAGCCTAACTAAAACAAAGTTTCTTTACTTATGACTAAGAGTATAACTGGTTAATTTATCCTGAACAACGTGAGGGTAATGGGCACCAACCCCCATGCGGTAGAAAATCTGAGTATAACTTTTGACTCCCCAAAAACTTTAATCATCCCTCGGTGTCTGTGGATGATTGGTTCCAGCACCCCACCCCTGCAGAAAGCAAAATCCACAGATACTCAAGTTCCTTATATAAAATGGCACAGAACAATGCATACAGTTGACCCTCAGTATCAGTGGATTCCTAACTATGGATGGAAATTACTCTTTTCCATCCAGGGCTGGTTGAATTCATGTATGCACAACCCAGGGATACAATGTGCCAACTGCATATTTAGTGAAAAAAATCCATGCATAAGTGGACCATACAGTTTCAACCAGTGTTCTTCAAGGGTCAACTATATATATAAGTTCAATTAATTTTGAAAAATAAAAAATGGGGTGAAACCAGTTATAATGATTAGGTATCAGGATGGAGTTTATTAAACAGTCATACCAAAACTTTTCCTGATAAAGTGCTACTTATGATTTTTCCAAAGTTTTATGCCTTTGGAGGTAGAATTGTGAGCAAAAGTCAAGTAAAGAATCATAGCTACATACTATGTGGACTTCTATACATGGAACTGCCTGAAGCTATGAAGCAGGCACATATGGAAACAACCAGGTACAATGTCTGTCACAGAGAATGATTTTGAATAAAATCTTTTAATAAAACACAAATAGGTTTATTTTTCCCTAAATAATTAATTTGTATTTTATGGGTCATTATTTATATATAAGACTTTATTCATCTCAGGTTCACAAAATTCAGTGCCTGCATACTATTTCCTCATTAGCAAACATCTAGTAATACTTTACAACTTAAAATAAATTTACGTGGCCAGGCATTCACAAATCTTTATACCAACTTCCTCCTCTAACTCAAGAATAGCTTGGGAAAAGTATATCATTTTAACTCATAATTTGTAAAAAAATTTAAGATATTGTTATCAAAAATGTGAAGGAAATTCACAATGCAAACATAAAAAATCCTACTTGAGAACTTTAGACTCTTCACATCTATAACTCGGTGCCTAATACAGAGTCTGGCACAATACACACTCCATAAATATGTATTCAACTGAACCAAAGAAGGCAAGACAGATGTTTCCTGCACTGTGGAACTGCGGTTAGTTTGATGTCATGCCCAGCAATTGGCGAAGGCAAGAGTGTAGGATATAGAAAAGAGAAAAATCATGTCAGATTACATGGGCCCATGAGGAAGGTCCAAAAGTAAAGAAACAAAAACGGAAAACTAATCAAACATTCAAACTTGCCACATATTTACACAGTAATGAGATGAACAATCTAGAGAGGCCTATACTGATCAGCCCTCTCACACCAGCTCCTAGGAGATAGAGATGGTACTTTACATAAGGATTCTCTAGTGCACATTACCCCATAGTTAACAGTTGTTAGCAACCAACAACTCAAATGTACTAAAGAAAATTTCTCCTTAAATTGAAAAATACATTTCAGAAATATAACCAAATCATATGAGGCAGTATTTTTCAAAGTGTGGTCCACAAATCATATCCATCAGAATCCCTCGTTTCATTTATTAAAATGCACATTTCCATATGCCACCCAATATCTACAAAATCAGAATGGGGAAGGAGTAAAGGGTAAAGGGAGCACTGGAATCTGCATTTCTAACAATATCTCGAGTGATGCACACTAAAGTTTAAGGCCTTCGATATAATATCTATAATTATATGCATTAGTAAGCGAGATTGTTTCTTTTCCACTCCTAACTTTCCACTCTTCCCACTGTTTCCTTATTTTCTAAAGAGTGTTCCCATACTCCTACTTTCACTAATTAGCCATTTTTCCTAGTTCTAATACAGTATTTGGAAGAGTCTTCCCCATTCTCATACACATAACCCACCCCCAAACTAAAATACAACATCTTTTTCTGCATTGAAAATAAACTACTATGCTGTGTAGATGAAATCAATTCTGATTTAAACAAACACCAAACCAATTTGGTAACAAATAACCATTTCATTTTTAATTCAAGTCTGTTTGAATCTAGAAATTCAATAATGTTATAAACAATATTACTCAAAGAAGATAAACCATATCTGATCTCTACTCACTGACAATACCTTGCCTACTTGAGTAGTTTCTTTCAAGGTCATGTTGTAAGAGTCGACCAGGGAATGATGGTGTTTCTTTACTTAGCCTGAATTCAACCTAAAAAACATTGTTTAAAAAATCTGGATAAGAACTTAACAATAAGTAGTGAAGATAATCCTAAAATAACATACAGTAACTGGCACATGCTAAAACATACAGAAGAACTTTGAAAACATCATGCTAAGTGAAAGAATCCAGACACAAAATGCCACATATTGTATAATTCCATTTATGAATTATCAAGAGTAAGAAAATTGATAAAGACAGCAGATTTGTGGCTCCCAGTGGGATGGGAGTTAGCTATTTATTCTGTCTTGAGAAAATTGTGTGGAAGGTGGGTACGTTTGAGTGCTGAGGTGAGACCAGATGGAAAGAAAAAGGTGTACCTTAAAAATCAAATGAAAAGCCAGAAATTATGGATATACCAGAAATATTATGGTAAAATTGTTTAGAAAAGAATCTCATGTTAATATCTTAACTTCTAAATAGCACTAAGCCTAATACATTTCTACTACTAATCTGTTTTTCTCCCCTGATTTTAAATGGAATGTATAGATATGCTCCCCAAATTATTACATTTTATCCATTATAAGATTCCATTAGTAATAAGACACGCCATCATTTTATCCATTACTGAGAAACAAAAAACTGTCCCAATTAAACTACAATATGCCATCAATTTTAAGATCTTGATTTAAGAAATGCTTAAATGTAAAAAAAAAAAGAACCCCCC